TTTCCTCTGATGAAACCACGTATTTGTAAGTGATTTATTTTTTATTTTGTAGCACAAACAGAAATCCATAAACTGTCGGTTCAGCGCCATTGACTCTTTGATCAGTTACTGGGCGCTTTTATTTTTTTTTTTTCCCCCCCTTCTCCTCCCGTCAGCGGGGGGGGATGAAAAGCCTTTATCCGCAGCACCTTTGCTGGTGCCGAGGTGCGGAGCCCGACCCAACAATAAAAGTGCCCTCAGCCCCTCGCCCCCGCGCTCCTCCAGTCACCGGTAACGAAACTTCGAGCTGCCTAAATAAAGCCTCTTAATTAGACCACTCCAGCGATTTCCGAAAACATTTAGCCGCTATATACAAAGGAAATAAACCCACATTGTCAACTCGAGAGCGCTCCAGAGTTTAAAAGGGCTCCTCCGTAACCGATTCAAATAATGATCGGAGGGTGCGACGCCTTTGTCCGAGGCATCGCCCCCCGCCCGCCCGGCTCCGCGGGGAGATCCCGCCGGTTCTGCCCCGGAGGGACCGAGCCCCGACCCCCCTTTTGGTCAGAAAGAAGCAGAAAGTTTCCGCGGGGTGGGAGCGCGGCCGTGGGCGCAGCCTGCGCGGGGTGCGGGGGCCGCCGCGGGCTCGGCCCGGGCTCCATCCCGCCCGGGGACCGCAAAGTTAACGGGAAGCGGGCCGGTGCGGGCAGGCTGCGCCTCGGGCCGCGCTGTGAGCGCCCGGCGGGATGGATTCATTTCCAGCTCGGGTATCTCATTTCCAGAACACTCTTATTCCCTATTCTCACCTTCCTCCCCACAACCCCCTCCCCAAAAAGAAAAAAAAAATTAAAAAAAAAAAAAAACAGGAAATGTCTCTCCGGAAAAAAAAAAAAAAAAAACAACCAAAAGTTGCTAAAACGCAGGGCTGGTGAGGAGCTGGGGCTCTAATTGCTGCGGAGCGGGGCTGATAACACGTAGTTATCATCGGAAAAGTTGACCAAGACAGGTTAAATAATTTAATAAGGAACCGCTTGTAATTATGTTATTTACAAGGTATGACAGAGGTTTGAGGAAGAAACAGAAGCTGCTCTCAGGGAAACGGGCGGGTTTGGGTGACCCCTGGAGCACGGAGTTTGAATTATGGAGATGGGGGGCTGAGAGGTGAGCCTGGACTAGAGGAGAACAAGATGACTTTTCACCTCAGCACATTTAACTTTTAAATCCAAATAAACGTCTCGCGTTACTCGCTGGTGGCGTTATAAAAGAACGGGGCTGAGCCCGGCCGGTCCGGGGGTGCCCGAGGAGGAGGAGGAGGAGGCTCCCTCTGCCCTTTTCTCACCCGGGAAAAATATTGCCCCCCCCAAAAAAAAAAAAAAGAAAAAAAGTTACAAAGGGGGAAAGTGCATTTAAAAATAAATCTGGGCAACTTGAGGGATTTATTTTTTTTTCTTTCCTCTCCGCCTTGCTAAATTAATTATATCAAACATCTGTTCCCGTGACGCGGTACCGAATGCCACACACACCATCGCCCGGTGCCAACGCTCCCTCCGACACCACCGACACACCTTTAGCTCTTTAGAAATTAGCCCCAAATCACAGCCACCTGGACGGCTCGCCCAGGTAAATGAGAAGAAGGTGCCGTCCATCGCTCTAATTAGCCCCCCCCGCCCCCTCAGGCCAGGGCCAAACGCAAACGGAACCAGTTGCGGGTTAAGAAAAACGTAAAGTTTCTCACCTGCTTGGTCATGGAGTCGATGAGGCGGACGTACAGGTCCTGCTCCGTCCGCACGCCTGGGGGGAAACAGAGACACGGCCCGTCAGGACGGGGGCAGCCCCGACGGCACAACGGGAGCGGCCCCGGGACGGGATGGGGCACGGCACGAATTAAAAAATATAATAAAATTAATAATAATAATTTTTTTTTCAAAAAAAAAAACCCAGAAACGGCCTGGTGACAGAGTTCTCGCCCGCTCCCGGAGCTGGCGCTCGGGGGGCCGTGCCCCGGGCAGCCCCCCCGGGCCGGTGTGCGGCCGGGGCCGGGGGCGGTGGGGGCGGCCAGACCCCCCGGGAACCCGGCCCGGGCTCCGCTCTGCCCGCTCCCGGCGCCCAGCCCGGCCCCGTAATTACCATTAATTCGCAAAAGTGAAAAAAGTCACTTAAAAGTGCTGTTGTGCTGGAGCAGCTATCGATCCCCTTTTTTACTTTCCACTTCAAGACCGACCGGTTAATCATGTGAAGTGCCATCGACTTATTGATCCGTTATGTTTTGTTTTCCTGATATGCCAAGGAAAGAGCCGTGTTTACACGCGTGTAATTTTAATCTCGAAATCTTTATATCCTTTTCCAAAAGGCCTCGAAAAGAAAGTAAAGACTTTTCCGCGGCGACACGGGCGCTCAAAAACGAGGTAACGCCAACTTACCGTTGCTATACAATAACTGAAGTTTATAATGAATCCCATTGTTAGTTTTTTCATTGTTTGGCTCCTGCAAGTAACGATAAATAATTACATTTAGCATGAAAAAATATCCCCCTCCTCCTGACGTCCGCTTTTCTCGCCCCCGAAGCGTTGGGAATGAGGAGTCGGCGGGGATGGAGCGCACTCCGCGGAGCGCTGCTCGCCTCGTTATTATCCCGGGGCCAACGCGGCGCCTTTCGCCGGTTTCTCCGCGTTACGCGGAGTCGGGGCCGCGGCGAGAAGTTTGGAAACGCGGGAGCTGCGCGGAGCGGCCGCCAGAACGGGGGGGACCCGCACGTGGTCTGGGCGCCCCTGGAGCCCCGTTATAGGGCTGCCGGGCTCGGGAAGGCGCTTTCCTCAATTAAATCACGCCGAAACGGTTTCCCCCCCACCCCAAAAAAATAATAAACCTGACCCCGCTCCGACAAGAGCAGACTTACTTTCTCTTTCTCCACAAAGTCCACAAAAGCCGTTCTCTCAATCTCCACCGGCTGCCCCTGCCTGTCGTACAGAGCTAAGACGAAGTGGAAAAAATTGGATTTTCTGAGATTGGAAGGCGGCTGTTTCTCGAAATGTGCCCGAGCCAGCCCCACGCCGCTGCGGGAGAAAACAAGACAAGGCGTGGGTGAGAGCAGCGGGGAAGGGGCGCGCAGGCTCCGCGGCCGCGGGGGGACGCGGGGAGCGCGGAGCGGCGCGGAGCGGGGAGGCTGTAAGTGATACGGGGCGGGCGAGCGGACGGGATTCATCCCGCTGCCCAGCGGCTCCTCTTTCATGGTCGTCCCACCTCTTGGTATATTTTCCTGAATCCCAAACATTAAAACAAATTTGGGCAAAACCAGCTCCTAACCAAAAGGGGTTAAAACTGAGGGAAATGTCAGATACGGGGTGGGTTGGTTGTCGCTTGATTTTCTCTCTCTCTCTCTCTCTCCTTGGCGGCTGGAATATAAGAGATGACTTTACTCCCTGTGATCAGTAGGAGAAAAGCCCAGTTCAAGTCTTGCTTCCTTCTTCAATCTGTCCTGTATTGGCACG